TTTATTTTTTAAAAATATAAATAATAATAATAATATGAGTTGGCATTGAAAAAAAATCCACGTAAACATGTTTTTAATTTGTTTTTGCCACGTCATCAAAAAAATAATAAAAAATAACACGTAAACGAGTTAACGATCGAAATTAACAGAAAAACTAACAGAGTGCATTTCGTATAGTTAAGGGATCAAAAAAGTACAAAAAATTGTTAAGGGACCAAAAATGTGCAACTCACTAAAGTTGAGGGACCAAATTTAACATTTAACCTAAAGTTTATTATGGTTTGGAACTTATTATTATGATTTGGAAACATCAACCATAAAGTTAAGAATTCCCTCAGTCTGTTCACCATTCATCAAATACTGATTCACAAACATGGAATCTATTATTCAAGAGAGAGATGCCCTTCTCTAGTGACAACCGAACAGGGAAACTTCAACGCATGGGAGAAAATACCAATCACTTCCACACACCGATAATGGATTTGCAACTTTCGCAATCATCCCCAGTTCCCCTGATTGCATGCATATTTCTAGAAGGGAATGCAACTTCTAAATACCATTTATGTTGCTTGAAAAATGCATGAATTCCAAATGCAGCAGCCACCAGAAGCATAGAATGCTTTAAAATTGGAAGATCAAAAGTACTTCTTTTCATATGAAACCAGTCCATGGACTCCACCTTCAACTTGTGCTGCACCAGTGCGGACCTATATAAGCATCGAATGACCAAAGGTTAATTGAATGCAGCAAATAACTAACAATGATTACATATAGTTCTGAATTTGTAGAACAATCTATAATTCTACCAGCTTTCGGTTTCTCTCCACTTAAGTTACAGTTTCAGATACAACCTCCATCTCCATCCCCCTCCCCCCCAGAAAAAACCCTTTGACGCAGACCTCCCATCCTCTCATGTCATGACCTAAATAAGAGAATACTGAGAGAATAAGGGCAGTACCTCTAGCCTCAGCGTGCTTGAATACAGGAGCTCATGTGCAGAGTGCAGAGAGGAAGCACCAAGATCCTGGAAACCTTGCTTGACTGCTTGCATTGTATAAGGAATAAACTTCAGGACGGAACCTTTATCTGCTACTGCTCCAACAACTCCCTGAGCAATCTTCAGCTTAGCAGTATCACCTAAGTATCTTGCATCACTCCCCTTAGTCATTGCTTCTAAAGAGCCCATGCCACGATATTTTTTGACACGACAACAATTCTGGTAGAAAAACAGTTTACAATTCATAGTACTGAGTCACTAACTACAGAAAAGGACTATTTCAAGGTAAAGTAAAAATATATAATTGAAAAAGAACTTTTACGTAAACAGAAACAATGTCAGATAAACACAACATAAAAGCAACAAGCATCTAGTTTATAAATGCCTACATGGTAGAGCAACCAAAAAGAAGATGGTAACCTTACAACATCCATAAAGGGCTATCATATACCTGATACTCATATGCTCCAGGAGCCTCAGTACTTCCAGCCAAGAAGCTTCCCATCATTACGGTTGAGGCCCCAAGGGTCAAAGCTTTCACAATGTGCCCAGAGTTGGAAATGCCACCATCAGCAATCACAGGCACACCATATTTTGAAGCAATAGATGACACTTTGTAAACAGCAGTTGCCTGAAGAAACAAAGAACATTATATATATAGAGTAAATATACCAGTGGAAACATCCATAATTAAATGACATTGACTGGTTATTCTTGATATTTCCCAAGGTATTAGTAACTTCTGAAACTTCTGAACCTTTTCATATTCACTAACAAAATTAAATGGAATATCTTATCATGAAAGGAATTCTTTTCTTCAGTCTGTTATAAAGAAACTTATGCCCCAAAAGAAAGCTTCTGTAAACAGAAAAATATTTTACCCAGTAGCTAGCTAAAACAGTCATTCTGCACTTCTTTTTGGTTTCAGAGTTACTTTAGGACTCTTACCACCAGTTCCCATTTCCCTAAGAACAATATATGGTTAATCACCTGCTCAGAAGAAATAATACAGAGCCCTTCCCCTAGGGGATTAGCACGTTTTGGGGAGGGCACAGAACTAGTCTCATTATATAGCTCTGATGTTGGTTGAACCAATAATGGATAACAATGATAAACTATGAATATAATGCTTCACACTATGAAGCACTTAAAAATTTATTCTTATGTTGCCATATAATCACAATGCTTCCCATTAACAAAAAACAAAAAGGATTTTATACATTTTGAAACAGATTAGATATAGTATGAACCTACAAAATATAAAATGTGGGAAAAGTATTTAAACCAAAAACAACTTCTGTTACCTGTCCTCTCCCAACAGCACAGACCTCTTGCGTGGTGCAGATAGACCCAGATCCCATCCCTACTCTCAACCCATCAACACCAGCCTTGATCAAATTCTCTGCTTGATACACTGTCACCACATTCCCACCAATCACATCTAACTCAGGATATGTCTTTTTAATGTACTTGATCATCTCAATCTGATAAATAGAATTCCCCTGAGAACTATCTATTACCACTACATTCACCCCTGCCTTAACCAAGTGCTTCAACCTCTCCTTGTCTGAATCCCTTGTCCCAATGGCTGCCCCAACCATCCACTCCCCATCAGACCCCACCGTTCCCACCCCCAGCTTTGGATACCCTTTTAGCCTCTCCAAATCATCCTTAGTCACCACATTCACCACCTCACCATCCCTTTCCAGAACCACAAAATCACTCTTCCTATCCTCCAAAACCGCCTCAATTTCCCCCAAATCGTAATTCCAAGGAACATTCTCCACAGTCTTACAATCACGCATGTAATCAAAGATTTTCACGTCTTTGTCCTGCAAATCCTCCCAGTCAGATTTAGCTATATATCCCAACATCCTTGACGGTAGAGTTCCTGTTTCAACAAAGAATTAATATAAACACATAATTTCATACATCAAAGCATCTACTTCTTGGTTACAAGCTGCCTGCTTTCTAATTTACCTGACTCTGTGACGAAAACATACTTCCCGTCAGCAGGACCAAAACCCCCGGCAGCATCAGGACCAACAAATCCGACGGTGGGAGCTATGGGGACACGGAGCGACTTGGCGGACCGGATAATAGATGCCTGCTGGGTAGCAGAGCAGTTGGAATGAACGAAAGCGATACCGCCGAGCGCAGCCATGGCGGCTGCCATGTGAGCCTCGGACACAGTATCCATGGGGGAGGCTACACAAGGGATGGAGAGACGGACGTTGCGGGAGAGGTTGGTGGCCAGAGAGACAGCATCGGTGGGGAAATCAATGTAGTGAGGGAGGAAGATAACGTCATCATAGGTGTAGGAATAGCCTTGGCTGAAGAGTTTGGATGCCGGGAAACCGTCGTCAAACATTTTCAATCCTGGCCGGAGGTGAACGACGGAGAGACGGCGGAGATGTGGGCGGGGGAGCTAGGGTTTATGTTCAGAAATTCATCAAAGATTGGAGGGAAATATGGAAGAGAGTGACAGAAAACGACAGATTCATCGATTCATGTATTTGTTAGTGCCAGAGACGGAAGGTTTTTCTTTTGGTTTATTTGCAATATTAGTCCCTGTGCTATTAAAATATTTAAATTATTAATGATAATAATTACCGACCGTTAAATTAGAGACATTAAAAAATTTAGAGCAGTGCTAGGGGCACTCGCCTCCTGCACTCTCCGACCAACACTCCCTCTTTCATTGGGCCACGTAAGGTTGTTTAAGCTATGAAGTGCAACCTCTTGAGAACTAAAATAACGTGGCCCAATGAAAGGAGGAGTGTCGGCCGGAGAGTGCAGGAGGCGAGTGTGCCTAGCACTGCTCAAAAATTTAATACCATAAGGCAAGGATAACACCACCATAAAATATAAAAAAATTAACGGTATCACGACGAAACCATACCACCCCAGTATAAGTTCTCTAA